TCCCCACGCTGCTGAGCGAGCCATGCACTGCCAGGAGACATGGGCAGTTGGTCAGGCTGCGGCACGGCACCCCGGCACCCGCCCTGCCACCGCCGGGACCCCTGGTGGGGCTCAGCCACCCCCCCCATCCCACCTTTCTGGGCCAGGACCCAGAAGCTCCTCTGCAGCTGGCTGTACTCGGGGGGGAGGCTGAAGGGCAGCTGGCTCTGGGACGGCTCCAGGTAGCGTGAGAGGTTGGGGACAGAACCGTGCAGGCGGCCCACCTGGGGGGGGGTGGGGCTCAGCCACCCCCCCCATCCCACCTTTCTGGGCCAGGACCCAGAAGCTCCTCTGCAGCTGGCTGTACTCAGGGGGGAGGCTGAAGGGCAGCTGGCTCTGGGACGGCTCCAGGTAGCGTGAGAGGTTGGGGACAGAACCGTGCAGGCGGCCCACCTGGGGGGGGACACAGGGGTCACCGGGGCCCTGGGGGGCTCTGTCCCCAGGCAGCGGCTCGGCCGGCAGCAGGCAGAGCTCGGCAGGATGCCCGCTCCCCCTCACCCTGCCGATGGTGTCGTCCTTGGCGAAGCTCTGGGTGCACCAGATCTTGGTGGTCCTCCTGCCCTTCTTGGGCCTCTCTGCGGTGGCCGAGGGCTGTGAGTGAGAGGAGGGGGCTGGAGCTGGACCCTCCTCGGGAAGGGGGGCTGCCACACCGGGCAATGTTCAGCCCCATGCCCGCCGCTGCCCCGCTCACCTGGCTGCCGGAGATGAGGGGGGCCGAGGGGATGCGGTGCAGGGCCTCCAGGCTCTGCAGCATGCCAGTCAGCTCCTGCAGCTTCACCTGGCACTCCAACAGCTCTGCGATGGGCACAAAGCGAGCCCAGTCACAGATGGGGGACAGGGCATCCCCCCTCATCCTGTGCATCCCCTCCCGCTCTGCTCACCGGCCGAGCAGCGCTCCAGCCCCTCGCTGTCCTTCAGCCAGGCGTTCACCTTGTCCCGGGAGCTGGCGAGGGTGGAGAGGGCAGGGGCACTGCCCGAGGGCAGGATCCGCGTCCATGGGCCCTGCAGCAGGGGAGAAGGGGCACCGCCAGGCTGCTGTCGGGAGCCCCGCGCCTGGACACTGCCTCGCATCGCCACCCCGAGGTGCCACCCACCTGTGCGTTGGTGGGGGTCCTCCCCGCGGGACCCCCCCTGGGGCAGAGCTCGGGCCTCTCGCCCTGGTGATGGGAGCAGAGGCTGCTCACCCAGCTAGTGAAGAGCTCCTTGGACTTGATCTGTGTGACAGGGGCAAGTTGGGGTGGGGGGGACCCGGGTGGGAGTCACCCAATGCCCCCAGCCCCGGCTCCAGCCCCCACCAGCACCTTGAGATGGTAGATGTTCTCCTCCGTGTCCAGGTCGACCCGCTGCGCCTTCTTGTTGATGGACATGACAGACTGACGGACATCGATGGCTCCGTGCAGTTTGCCCTTGAGGACCTGGGGGAGCCCGGGGACACCTGTCAGGGGGAAGACCCCCTTCCTCACAGGGGCCATGGGGTCTCCCCCACCCCGAGCCCTCAGGGAGGCTGCACAGACGCAGCCCAGCCCCACACTCACGTCCTGGCGTGTGGTGGCGTATTTCAGGATGCCGTTTTCCAGCACAAAGTACCTCTGGGGACAGAGAGGGACGATTGTTACAGGGCGGGGCGAGTAGAGACTGGTCCCTGCAGCCCCCCATCCAGGGGTCCAAATCGCCCCAGGGATGGGGACGGCGCCCAGGACCGACCGGGTGGCCAGGGGACGGCTCCCGGTGCCAGCTCTCCCCCGTTACCTTGTGCCAGCCCTTCAGGGGCCATTTCCTCTTCTTGAGCAGGTACCCCTCGTGCCGCTGCGGCTCCTGGCCCGGGCTGCCCCGCGCACATGGCTCCTCCACCACCTCCCAGCTCTCCGAGCCCTGCCGGGAATGGGGATCAGCGTGGGGGTCCCTTGGCACCAGGAGCAGCCAGGGTGCTCCCCACCTTGTCCCCAGGCAGGGACACTTGGTACTCCCCAGGGGACGGTGCATCTCTGTATCCCCCTTCTTAAAGTGGGGGGAAGCCCCCTGAGGGCCCATGGCACCCCCGGTCCAGCCTGGGTGCATCACTGGGATCCTGCTGAGCCCCCCCCCCCAGCCCAGAGACCCCCGACCTGCTGAATGCTGCTGTGCTTGGAAGACACGGTGCTGTTGGAGCGTGACAGGGCCCTTTTCGGAGAGGACAGGTCCTTCTCGTGGCTGCCCATGGCCGGTGAGCGGCGGGGGATGGGGGGACCAGGCCAAGCTCCCCCTCCCATCCGCACTGTGGGGCTGGTGGACCGAGCTCAGCCGTCACGGCCCGGGCGGTGGGAGCCACTGCAAGGAGGGGATGGCACGTCAGGGAGCCCAGGGAGGGCATCTCCCACCCTGCCAGCGGTTTTCGTGCCCTGCCAGACACCCTCATCCCTTCCCTCGCGGGGACAAGAGGTGGGGGGGGGATCCTCCTGCCCCCCGGGAGCGGGAAGCCTCGCACGTGACTGCGGCTGGGACCCAGAAGCTTCTGCGCGTGATGGAGCCTTCGACCCACCCAGCCTTACCTCGCCTCCGCTGCCCGGCCCTCGCCCGCCCGGTGGGTCCAGAGTCCGGCCCTGCTGCCCCGTGGACTGGGTCCCACAGGGCACCCCTGCGGCGGGCACAGCCGGGAGGGCAACCCGGGGAACAGAGACCGGGATCAGCCCCGGTCTGTCCCGACACCCCCGAGCCAGGACACGCCCCCCAAAAACCCCGATCTAGCCACGCTCCCTCCCGGCAGGGCGTTCCCTTTGCCCTTCTCAAATACAGGAAGGGGAAACTGAGGCACGGGGAAGCTTCCCCCTCCCCTTGCCAGCCCCCCTCCGGCGCTGCCCTTGCCAGGGTACCCAGGCGTCCCAGCTGCAGTTGTAGCGCCAAGTCCCGGGATAACCCTGGGATGGCGGCCAAGACGCGGC